TACACACACACACACACACACCCCAACCCAGTGGGCTGGAGACAGGCGACCTCGGGAGCCAGCTGTCTCTCAAAGCCCTTGACAGCACTTCCATATTTCAGTCCACCCAGAACACCCTCTCCGGTTTCTGCACTGTAACTTCTGAGCATCAGCTCTTCTACCTGTTCTTTCTGCCAGCTCCTCCAGCAAAGGTTTCTTAATCAAAATGTTACTTCTTCAAACCAGCAAGCCAAAGATAGCCCAGATACCTCTCCCTTATCTTTCCAAACCTTGCCTCTCCTCCCTTCCCACCATAAATATTTTTCTATTTAAAAAAAAAGCCTATGCCCCATTTGAAATTCATTTTAGAGTTAAAAACAAAGACAAAAACAAAAACCAAAAAGAGTCCAAGAACATGAACATTGGATTCAAATGCCTTCCTGATGAGCCATCTCAGGAAAAGGTCACAATAACCTTCTCAGGGAAGCCCTGATCTCCTGCTCACTCAGAGCTGCCAAAGTCTTCCCATCAAAGTACAGAAGCAAAACTCCTCACAGTGTCCATTCCCTTCTGTCTTCTACTAGGGCTCTGCTCTCCTGAGTCAAATCTAAAAATCTGTCTTGGTGGTGAAATGAAATCCAACTTACATGAATTTTCAGTGTTAAATATCTTCACTAATTAAAATCTGGAAAATACTTTCTGAAAAATTAAAGTGTGTAAGTCATGAAAATATCCGAAATCCCCACTCTATAATCCTCTCATTTACATTCTTTCTCTGTCTCTCTAAACTATCAGACTCCAAGCATCTGACCAAACTGGAGAAACATAAACCATGCATAAAACATGAGCTTCGCCTTTAGCTACCTGAGCTGTCAGCAGACACTCAATCTTTTTGACAGAATATTTAAGAAAGGAGACACTAAAAAGTTACCATCGCCTGGTATTGCCAAAGGAAGTCTTAAAGATCAGTTCCTCATACAACCACAGCCAACCACAGCCAACCACAGGCTCAGAGAAGTAAAAGCAACTCCTGGGTCACACGGTCACTAGCTACAGCACCCACAGCAAGCACACAGGCAAACTAAGACTCCTGTACTTTAAGAGTACATTCTAGAACATGTGAGCTAGGGCCACAGGGGCCTGAGGGCCCACATTTGGAGAAATAATAACACACTATTTAAGCAGGAGAGCACACATAGCAGGTGCTTTCTGTAGCTATTTTAGAGGCGAAGACTACCACCCCAATTAGTTACCAATGGGCCACCTTGAGTCTGTACAAGTGACTGGCATTTATTCCAAACACTAGACCTTTTCTAAATAGGAAGGGGAACAAGAGATGGAGGGAGAGGGGAGGCGAAAGAGAAAGGAAAGGGGATGAAAAAAGAATTCAAGAAAAAAAATGGAAATAGAACTTTTGCAAATGTGAAGAGGGCCAAGAATTGGAAGGAACGGAGGGATGAGAGGAACAGGAGTCAAAAAAAAGAATGAAGACGTGTTATGTACAGGTACCAACTTCCCATGATAAATTATGCGCTGAGAACACAGACTAATAAAAATAAAATGATACAGGGTATATGTATCTATACATAACATTCCTTCATACTAACTACTTTAATGCCAGGATGTGCACCTGGCTGAAGAATTCAAGCTATTATGATTACTAAAATAATGTAAAAAGGAAACATTTTACGTACTTAAAAATATAAACATGTACAACTGATGCCTGATGCATTAGAATTCTTAGAATGGTGAGAAAAGCAACACTTTTTAAACAGATACAACAGAGTAATGCTACTGTTGTATTATTTTTGTTAAACATCACTACAAAACATGACTACACATAAAACATTTCAAAAGCCACAAGTGACCTAATTACATAGTGCCTTTTTGAGTATGTATATGACCCTTAGGTATATACAGTTATATTATTAATTTCCAGATTATTTAATTTAAAAAGTTGTCAGGCCACACTGAGGCCTTGAAATTTTCGAAATAATGAAAATACTACAGTATGGGCTGATTTAGCATAACTGTCTTAGGTAAGAAACCCATCTTCCCTGCCAAGGCTAACAGGCTATGTTTCACAAATAATTCTACATCCTCAGTGTAGCTGCACACCTCCTCAGTTCTGGATTATCACCTTTATAAATGGCTTGGTCAAAGAGGAATCCAACAGCTGTGTTTTCGTTTTGTTTTGCTTTGTTTTGGGTTTTTTTGACAATAGTAACCTAAACAGACTGACAGGAAGGTTGCAGGAAGGTATCAGTCATGAGAATTCTTGACATAAAAACGAGGAACCTTAAGCACCAAAGAATTCAGACTCTTCATCTGCGCAGCGGAACAAATTCGAAGGCATCAGATCACTTCTCTCCCTTTAGGGTCCGGAAGTGGACTCTGGAATCACACAGACTTTCTCTTCGAAACAGAACAGCACCTGCTTTGGAAGCTTCTGGCATGGGTGTCTGAGAAGAAACACCACCAGTTCATCTGCAGACTACAGGAGAAAAGAACTAAGGGATGATCCTCAGGAAATAGTATTTGAATATCAAAATCCTTCCTAACCTCTAATTCTGCATTTCAGTTTGGTCTTCCAAAAACAAAACAAACAAACAAACAAAATCATGTAGTTTTTCAGTTAAAAAAGTGTGGACGTGTAGTACCTAAATTATACTTTATATTGCTTCCTTTCAAAAATATAAATTCTTCAGTGAATTCTCTGAAAAGACAAGAGAATGACCTGTATAACAATGGAGCATGTCTTTAAAAACTATGAAAATAATAAACTGTTAAATAATCCTAACGTATATAACTTCTTCAGCCTGCAAGACTGGGAATTCATGTTCTAGCTTAAGTCGGGCATTTAAGAGTATATTGCAGTTCTGGATCAAGTGGTTCTTTTCACGGGAGGCGACCCAAATGTAACAACCATCAGAATTCATTGATTTGCCAGAAGGATAATGTCAGGGAAGGTTAGGGAGGAGGAAGTTCACCTCTAAATACCCAGACCCGAGGAAAAGGAGGACAGGGTCTGACGGGCAAAGTTTGCGTTTTCACCGCGGGTTCAAACACAGCTCCGGGGAGTAAACCCTGAGGCCAAAGATCCCCAAAGCCTTCTGCCTCCGTCCCAGATCTCCCAGGGAAATAACCGCGGTAACCGGGCTGCTGCCGCGCGGCACCTACGAAGGCGGCCGGCGGGGACCCGCGCCCGGGG